CCCTCGGGGCAGGCCAACCTCGACATCTGCAAGGGCGGCGCAGCGACCTTCGACAAGGCCGCCGAGCCGACCGAGCCCCTCCGCGAGGGAAACTTCGCGGCGAGCAACATCGACCAGCAGAGCGCGCGAGGCGAGCCTCGCACCCTCCCCCGCACCCTCTCCGCACCCTCCCCCGCACCCTCTCCCGCACCCTCTTCCGCACCCTCTCCCGCACCCTCTCCCGCACTGACGCCCTCTGCGGCGTGCGCGTGCAGGCGGCTCTGTCGAGCTCGGGCCGCGCTCGCAGGTGAAGAAGTCGGCGGTGGGGCCGCACTGCCGGCTCGGCGCGGGCGTGCGGCTGACCAACTGCGTGCTGATGGAGGGGGTGGTGGTACACGACAAGGTGCGGACGGGGGCGAGAGGGGTGCCCGGATCGGGCCGAGATCGGGCCGAGATCGGGCCGAGATTGCGAGCCGGCCGCCGGCGGTGGGTGCCGCCCCTCTCTCGCCCCGCGAGCCTGCCGAGCCTTCGGCTGTGCCTCATCTCGGCTGCACCTCCGGCTGCACCTCCGGCTGTCTCTCGACTCGCCCGCAGGTGCACATGTCGAACTGTATCCTCTGCCGCGGCGCCGAGGCGAGCCCGCACCCGCCCTCCCTCCCTGCCGGCACCCACCCTGCCTGCCGCTGTAGCGTGCGCAGCCGCGCGAGGCGGAGGCGAGGGCGGACGGGCGCCCTCTGGGGACAGGTGCACGAGGGCGCGACGCTCAAAGACGTGCAGGTGGGGAGCAATGTGAGCGTCGAGGCAGGCGCGAACGTGAAGAGCGAGGCGCTCACCGCCGAGGTAGACGCGGAGGGCAGCGTGGTCGGCTCAGCCGAGGAGGATTGAAGTACCAACCACGGTTGATCGTTCCGCCGGCCTCGCATCGCCGTTCGGGTACATGCTGGCTGTGGCACCGTCTCGCGTGTGGTGCTGCGCATGCCGAGCCGGTGGGGTTGCGAGAGAGTACTCTGTCTGTATCACTGGCGGTATGTGGCTCTTCGACGATCTGGGCCACCGCAAACGATTTTGATCAGCAAATTTCGCTCGGCCTCGGGCATCGCTCGGGCCCCAGATGCAGATCCCCAGCGCGGCCGCGCACGGAACGCGCTCTGCAACGCTGGCATACACTAATATGACACACACACGAAATACACCACGCACCACGTACCCAAACCCAAAACGCCCTAACCCCTATCGCCTATGCCTAAAACCCTCTAAACCCGTCGCTAACCCCAACAGCAACAGCCCCAACACCCCACAACCGCAACCCTATCCGCTATCCCAGACCCTAACCCACCTCCTCCAGTCCCAACTCCCACCGCAAATTTGAAAGATCTTGATGAAAATCAGGCCCGAATGCATTTTTTTTTCAACATTATCGCACAGGCGCTCCCCGCGCCTGCAGAGATTTTGAACTAAATTCGACAAACTCGTACCTGGGCCAACCTGGGGTCCTATAGCCAGGAGCCAGGCAGGTAGCCCACACGGCCGCACGAGCACGACAGGCGCTCGTGGTGCCGTACCTGCAGGCGGTGTCGCTCCACGAGCGCTTCAAGGCGGTCTGGCGGCAGAGCTGGTACCCTGAGAGGGACGGGAGCACATGGGTCACCGCGCGCAGCCAGTGCTCCGAGTCCGATGGCGCCCTCTACGACGCGCACATCCGGGCGGTCGGTGAAGCTGCGGCCAAGAAAGACCGCAGGCAAGGCGGAGGTGGACCTGTTTCACAACCTGTGGTAAGGTGGCCCTCGGCAGGTATCCGCCCGAGCTTGACGGCGCGGATGCCGCGAATCTCAAGAAGGTGTGCGTGTCGTGATTTCTTGTTGGTTTTCTAAATAAAATCTCTCGAATCTCGCGGGGGAATTATGTATTGCAGTCGCGTAGGCCACATGAAGACACAGTACACAGTACGTCTACGAGCTGTGTGGGCTTTTACGGCGCAGGCGGGCGATGACGAGTGTTGCCATCTCGTGGCAAACAAAAAAAACCCCGATTGGCTGCCTCTCTCCCGTCGCCAAGACCTGCATGTCCCTCACACAGGCAGTGTTCGCCGCCCTGTGCGACGCGCTGTTAACTGACCTGGCGGTGCGCCGTGCGGCGGAGGAGCGCGTCTCCTCACTCAGCGCGCAGCCCGGGTTTGTGGTCAGCCTTGTCGAGGTGCTGCTCGAGCCGCAGGCGGAGGCGGCGGCACGGCAGCTGGCAGCTGTTGTGCTCAAGAACTTCTTGCGCACGCACTGGTGCGAGGCGGCCGTTACTTTCACGCCTCCACTCGTCTCCGACCACGAGAAGGCGGCGGTGCGCGCTGCACTACCGCGAGGCCTGTCGGACAGGGTGCCGCGTATCCGCACCGCCGTCGGCGTCGCTGTGGCAACCATCGCGCAGTGGGACTGGCCCGACGAGCTGGCCCTTCCGCTGATTGGGACGAGCTCCCCTCCGACCGGCTCCGAGGCGTGCGGCGGCCCGGGCGGTGCGTGGCGCTTGGCGTGCGTGCGGTGGCGCGCCTGGCCTGCCTGTGCGCACTTTGCGCTGCCTTCG